TCCTGGTTGTTGTGGTTTACGTGGAGACCCATGTCCTACCCCAAGTGTTAGTACACGCTAGCAGGCTATGAAGCTCTAGGAGGCAGGCGTCGCTAGAGCAAGTAGGGTCACTGAGGTTAGGTACTTGGAGTAAATTATTGTTGGACCATTTTGGGGAGCCACAAGTGAACAGTTCTTCTCCTGAACATGGTCTTACCTCTGTGTCACAGTGTTCTGTTGAAGATGTAGCAAGACAAATCCCCCCCCTCACCTGTTTCCGTCAGGATCTTTGATCCACTGAGAGAGGTAAGGAAGGCACTGGTGAATCCCACTTGTACCCCTCCCATACCTAGAGGTTTGTTTAAGCCTTTTTTGGGTGAAACTAATCATGGTATAAGTAACCGGCGTCTGCTGAAGACAGAGGCTACGCCATATGGGGGACGCAACGGAACACACAAATCTACAATGTCACAGACAATAACTGTGAATCCTATATTGTAGTGTGATTCCTAGTAGCTTGTCATCATATGATCTGGCCTGACTGAGAAAACACCCAAACACCACCCTTTCCATCTTGTTTTCAATGTTTTGTTGCCCTGAAAACACCCACAGACGCTCTTGAAAGGCCAGACCAGGGGTTAGATTTAGGTGACTCTTCACGTTCATCCCTGATGGATGTGACCTGTAATCCATTCTACTCCGGAAGCTGTTTATGGAGACAAAGACCTGGTTGTCACCCTGACAAATTCCACTCTAATGCCTTGGATGCAGATTCAGACACTTGCATTTTCTAAACAGCTCTTGAGTGGTGGATTCTGCAACATGGGCATGTGAAGCAACACTCCCCGGCTTCTCCATCATCCAGAGAAAGCGTGTGATACAACCGTGAAGGAACTGTCTGAACTGGCCTCTGGATTGTTTCTTAAAATACCACCCCATGATCTGTCTTAGTTAGGGTTTCTATTGCTGTGAAGAGACACCATGACCATGGCAATTCTTGTAGAGGAAAATAGTTAACTGGGGCTTAGTTTCAGAGGTTTAGTCCCTTATCATCATGGTGGGGCAAGGCAGTGTGCAGGCAGACATGGTGCTGGGGAAAAAGTTGAGAGTTCTACATCTTAATCTGCAGGCAGCAGGGTACTGGGCATGGCTTGAGTTTATTTGAAATCTCAGACTCCACCCCTACAGTGTCACACATTTCCTCTAACAAGACCATGCCTCTCAATGGTGACACTCCCTATGAGCCAACCATCCAAATACATGAATCTATGGGGGCCATTCCTATTCAAACCACAACAGGATCTTTGTATTTGTTGGGACCTTGGCCAGGGGACAGCCTTCCTCAAGATATAGCTTGATCTCTTATTTCTTTTGAGAATGCCTCCTAATCACAAGGGTTACCCCAGTTTCTCTGTCCTGGAACTAGCTCTTGTAGACCAGGCTGGCCTCGAACTCACAGAGATCTGCCTGTCTCTGCCTTCTGAGTGCTGAGATTAAAGCCGTGTGTCACCACTGCCCGGCTATCTACCCTTAACACAAGTCGTTCCCTTCCTCTCACCACTTTTCTGTCTCGTGAGCACCTGCCATTCTTTAATGCACTGTGTATTTTTTTTACTGTGTTATTGCCAACATTCCGTTCTACAAGGACAGAGATGCTTGCCCAATATGTTCATTGTAAAACTCACAGGACCTGGAACAGTCGTTGGCAGAATGACATGATCAGATTCTTATTGAGTGAAGAAGGATGCTTAAAAGAAGTCCCACACTAGCTCAGAATTGAGTATAATAGAGGGTTTTTTTATTTAGGGGCAGACTCACAGATCACAATCCTCTGCTTGAACAGGGAACGGCAACCAAATCCCGCAGCCGAAAAAGAGACTGGAAATGAGCTTTCATCAGCATATATAGTATAGTATAAGAGGCCACGCCCATGGGCGGGTAACTTAAAGGCTACTGGCTGCAGGAATTCCTACAGCAATTGTGGGAATGGGCACCACCATAAATTCTACAATGACTGATGCCTCAAGAGCTATTTTGATGTCTGCAGTTAGGAACCAGTTTTCCATCAAGTTGGTTAGTCTTCTACACAGTACCCAGACACAAATGTCTTCCATCCAAACAGATTCCAAGCAACTTCCGAGATACTTAAAAATGTTGATCTTCTTGAGACAAGAAAGACAATGGCCAAATCAGACTCAAGACTGGCAGTTGTGACCTGGCAGGGAGGAGAAGTGGAAGTGACTTGCCCGCCATGCTTTGCCATAGCTTTCCCAAGCCCAGGTCTTAGGAAAAAGAAAGGAGAATCCTCGCTGCCAACTTATCAAAAATTTCTCTGCTTTGGTTTAGAGTCTCTCTAGCCTGAGAAAAATGGGTACCAAAGGCGGGGTGGGGCCCTTGCAGGAGAGGGAGAGGTACATACACACCTTCAAACACACACCTTACTCTTGTGTACTTTACTGTTCCACAAATGCTTTCCGGATATCAGATAGGCATAGAGCCTCTACAGCCTGACCAAGAGGCAACTGAGGGATAATGCATTTTTTTCTGCCCTAGGAAACGAAAAAAACTTGTTCTAACAGGATGTGATCACACAATTTAAAAAAATACATCTTTTTGGTTTTAATTAAGAAAAAATATATTTATTAATTGTACACAATATGGTGTATATGTTGGGGATGGGAGTAGGTGTGTGTGTGTGAATGTGGTCATCACACTGTACCGAAAACATTTCAGCATATTCCTCCCATTAGCATCTTCCCATCCGTGTGCTCCAGCCCTTCCCTGGTCACTACCAAGAATAGTTCAGAGGCTGAGTGTTTGAGAGTCCACATGCAAGTGAGATATTTGGCATCTGTCTTTCTGTGTGACTTACTTCACTTAGTACGCTGTCCCCCTGATTCATCCATGTTACCATAGAAGCGAGGAGGTGTTCTTCTTTTTTAGGGCTGAAAAGCTCATATACAACATTTTAATTATCCATTCACCCACTAACGGTTAAGTGTTTATTGTTTCTGGCCACCGATCCTCCCTTCCCTTCCCCAGCATACATGAAAATGTCCTCCTTTCTCTCCAGTCTCCAATAGGAACTGGAGATGGGAAGTGACTCCAGACAGCAGTCCCTCAAAACGACTTCATTTTTTTTCATCTTCCATAATGTAGTTGTGTTAGACAGTCTCCAAGATTTATTCTAGGCAGCAAAGTGATGCCCACTTGTAAGGCCCAGTTCCAAGCTGGCCGAGCCGCAGACTCTCAGCACATAGTTCTTATTCCAGAAGGATTGGGATGGCCATTAAACCATGTTACAAGGTGACCCAAGAGAAAGTCAGTGTAGCCCAACCTCCCATGCTGTTCTTGTCTCCCTCACATGTGAGCAAAGCCGATACAGCAACACCAGGTTCCAATGGTCGCTTCTCATGGTTTCTTATGCCTTTCTGCAGCCTCTGCCTTCCTCATGACCTCATTCCCGAAGTACTGCCCAACAGAAACCTCAATGTCTTTCCCACTCCCTCCTCACCCCGGTTAATAATCTGCAATGTCATCATGGGGATCCTTCTAGAACTCATCCCTGATTCTCTCAAATGTTCCATGAGGCTCAGTTGATGAATTCGTTCTTGACACTTGGTTATTTTCTGATCTCTTCCAGGCAGAGAGCACACACGGTTTACTGTCTTCATCGGGGTACTTCCATCTGGAATCACTGCCAAACTGAATGGGAACCTTATACTATAGGCAGAGGTCAGAGCACCCAGAAAAGCTGGATGTTAGATTTTATTTGCTAAACTGGACGTGAACGTGGCTTTGCCTTGATGTAAGAGTTGAAAATGGTGGAGATACAGAGGGGTCCGTAGTCTGCAGCCTCCTCTGTATCTCTACCATTTTCAAACCTTACATGCTTCCAGATCCCACAAAGTGCGTCTCCCTGTGGTCCACAGGATTCAGGAGCCCCAAGAAAGCTTTTGAGCATGGCCTAACGCAGACCGTAAACTTACTGCAAACACTGTGAGATGGGTGCGTGTGTCTCCGTTGTTTTGTTTTTTTATCTCAGCTGTGTCACGGCCTCTGGAGAAAATAATGTTGTGTCTCAATGAAGGTAAAGGTTGCACACACACCTGAATCCCTTTATAGCACTTAACTGTAACACACAGGCAATTACTTAAAGGATTTGGGGACTTTCCATAACCAGCCCATAGGTGTGTCTGTTACTGCACTATAAGGACAAAAAAAAAGAGAGAGAGATATTGTAAATTAAAACAAAAACTTTAGAAAGGATCTCTAAGTGGTCCATGACTTTAACGTGGGCTTTTTACTTAGAAGCTCGTGAGTGAACTGTTGAGTCTTCAAAAATACAGTCCCTACTTGATTGTTCTCAAGTTCCATTTAGATGTCACTCTGATTAAAGAAAGTGAAATAAATATCCTAGCTAATGTACAAAGCTGCATGGCTTAATGAAACCCTAATTAGAGAAGCCAGAATTGATGAAAAGGCTCTGGTCCAGAGTGAAATCAGAGAAACGGAGCTCATGCACGTGAGCATGTGAACAGGCCGGGTTCAGGGAAAATGAAGACCTAAGCTCTCTAGGTATCTACCGGTTTATGATTTCCGAAATTTGGCAATTTTTTCAATTACCTGAAAAACTTAAGAGAGCTTTCTACAGCCAATTAACCCACGAGAAACCGTGTGTCTGTTTACTCAGGGAAGTTCCCTGCAATGCTGCCACCCATCTGTACAGTGAGCCACCCGTCTGATCGTATTTCCACCCAGAACCCGCCGCAGGTTGCTTCCTGTTGCTGTGATTAAACACCCTGGCCAGGAGCAACCGAGCCAAGGGTGTCCGTTTCTAGATAACAGCCATCATCATAGGAAGGCAAGGCAGGAACTTGGGGCAGAGACCTCAGAGGAACACTGTTTATTGCTTTCCAAGTACCTTTCTTACAGAGCCCATCTGCCACCTCCCACCATGAGCCGGCCCTTCCTACATCTATTCTAGTCAGTTAAGTGTTCCCAACAGACATTCCGCAGACCAATCTAATGGAGGTAATTCCTTAGAGGAGGTTCTCCCTTTCCAGGTTCATCTTGGCACGCAAGGTTAGCCATCTGAATAACTTCTCCATCGTCTTTTCCATCGAGTAACAAAGAATTAAATGGTGGAGGGGGGTAAGAATTGTTACTAAGGAAGTTTCTCTAGTACTAGAAATGTCTGTTAAGGAACCAGTATTATATATGATGTTCTCGTTTTAATTATTTTCCATATGCAGGAATTAGGGTCAGCATATTATATACTTCTATTTCTTTATTCTCTTAAAAATTATCCTCATTTTACAGACAGGTCCCCAAATTTGAGATGTGTGTGTGTGTTCTTCAATGCAGGATTACTTAAAATAATTCTTCTGAAATAATTATGCTCCTATTTCCATTTTATGAGAATATCAACTTCATAATTTATCATCTTAAAGTATCTGTTTTTTTTCATATTTACATATTCAGGTGGTAAGATAAATCCAGATAGGGTATAGAGTATAGACTTGCCTTGGTCCTACAGCTGGGATCTCCTTCGGCTGAGAGTTTCTGGTGCTTTTGAAATGACCTGATGGTTGAAGTGAAACCGGAAATCAACTGTAGATATCTTCACTTTAGTCTGACAGCTCCTGATGGACCTCAGAGCCTATTCAAGGTATGGTGAACGTCCCACAACATGGAAACCTCAGGTTGTCGGAACTGCCTATTGGCAGCTGAAGACTCCCAAGCTTCTTCTAATCAATTCTTTTGGTTTTGACCGATTCTCAAATCTTCCCAGATTCCAAGAGGATGTGGGGGGAGGAAGAGACATAGGCTTTTGTTTCTGCAAGGAGAGTCAACTGTTTGCATTCACTATTTGAAATCGCCACATGCTAGAAGGGAGCAAGCTCCTTGGCTCCTGTATTGGTTTGAATCTGAAATGTACCCCACAGGTTCATGGCTTGGACACTTGTATTATTTTGGGAGTGTGGAATCTTTAGAGATGGGAGCCTGGCTGCTAAAAGTGAACGCTCAGGACAGGCCTTTGCAGCTCATCCGTGGCCGCTAGTCCATGCCTCGCTCTCTGCTTTCTAGTCTCTGCCTCTCGCTCCTGCCCTCAGCAACCTGTCTGCTCCACCACGCCTTCCCTACCCTTATGGCTTGAAATTGTGAAGTAGAATATGACTTTTCCTCCCTAAGTTGTTGGGAGATGTGAGGGTCACAACACAGAAGTAACTAACGCCTGTAGGTTGTTATACGCTGACAAACTTATCATAAATAGAAAAACACTGCAAGTGAAAAACACATTTAATATATTTGACTGAGAGGAGGCGCTAGGAACTGCAGGGGAAAGAGATTATGTGGTATTTGCCTCTCTAGGTCTGGGTTATGCCACTGAGTGTGATCACTTCTAGCTCTTTCCTTTTACCTGCCAATTTAATTTCTCTTTATAGCTGGGTAATATTCCATTGCACATATACACCACACTTTTAGTATCCACTCACGGTTGAAGAACACTTAGGTTGTTCCCATTTCCTAGCCGTTGTGAACAGAGTAGTAATGACCATGGCCGAACAAGTGTCTGTAGAGTAGGATGTTGAATTCTTTGGGCATTTGCCAAGGTGTGGTAGCGCTGAGTCATATAGCAGATTATTTTTAGTTTTCTGAAGATTCTCTATACTGATATCCATGGCAATATCTGTGGGCTTGTTAACATGGAAAGGAAGAAATTTTACAGGGTTTCAGTCCTAGACAAAGAACTACAGGCAACTACTGATGGCTAGGAGAATGAGAATTAACCTCTCCTACTTGAAGCATGATTAATAAAAACTCAGAGAGAGAAATTGGGCTTCAACCTGAAGATCTGAACAGCAAAGCAGCCAACCATTGGCTTTTACCTCAACCTCAGTCCAAAAATGATGATCTTGTCTCCAGCAATCTCAGAATGAGACTGTGTCTGAAAACTGTTCCTTCCCATTTTATAATCCTCTCTAGAGCTGGGATTAAAGGAGTGCACAGCCAGGTTTCTATAGCAACTAGTGTGATTACTGGGATTAAAGGTGTGTGTTACAATTGCCTGACTGTAAGGCTGACCAGTATGGCTGTTTTACTCTCCCAAACCCTAGGCAAGCTTTATTTATTAAAATACAATTGAAACGCCATTACATTTTCCCTTTGAGATAAAAGGGGAAATAAATAAATTCTTTCTAAAATAAAAAGGTTATAACTAATATAAGAAAACTATATACAATAAATACAATAACTATATACAATATATAGGCAATAAATACATCAACAGTGCCTAGTCTATTTGCATATGACAAATTCAAAGGAAATACCCCATATCTGTCCTCTCTTGGTGTGTCCAAAGTCTTGTACCTAATTTTCTTTCTCTCATAACTTGCATTACTACCCCAAGCTATCTTCTGATATCTCTCAACCTTATATACTTTCCATTTCTTTAGTGAATTTCTTTTCTGAGTCTCATAAACAAAGGAGACAATAACTATAACTATCTAGTCTTCAACTCCCTCAGAGACCCAAGAAGGAAACAATATTAACTGAGTAAAGGGGAAGTGCAAGCAAGCAACTTCCCAAAAAATGAGAGTAATGACAGAAAAGGCTGATTGACTGGGCAGTCACCCAAAGATTCTCTGCAACGTTGGGTTATTCATCTTTGGCCTACAGGCCTAGCACATTTGACAGACTTTTCTGTGAAGCAGGATATTTTGTGTCCTGCTTGTCTAATTAGGACAGCATAGTCTCAGCAAGAGAGGCAGGGCAGTTTCTTGCCAAGTGGCTTACTTTTACCACAGAGAAAGTAAACTTCATGTGGAGTTTCTTTGATTCTCATTATCTTCTCCGAAGTAGATTGGTGCTGCCAGGAGCAGACATGTTTCATTGTTATAAAAAAGAACCTAAGTTATTAAAGCAACTTAAATGCCATATTCTGTAGATCTCTGAAGTGTTTGAAGATGACTTGTCCATCTAAAATATATCTTTGTTTGACCTTGAAAACATACCTAATGTGATTATAAGTTCAATTATACTAGATGACTAATTACTAACCTGCATTTTCTTATTTTCCTAAACAGTTGATAATAACAATTTTCAAGAAATAGAAATTTGCATTACATTGTTAAATGAGTTATATAGTTACAATACCTTGAATAAGAGTAGAAATATATGTACAGAATGTTTTAACAAAATCAATCTCAAATTTGTATCAATATATAAAATGTGTATACAATATATAAAAGTCCAATCCAATGTAAAGCATTTAAAGCTAAGAGTTGCTTTTTTAAAGTAGATTCAATAATCTACCTTTTTATCTTATCATATCTATATCCTCCCCTTTCTTTTTCAGAGTTGATTCAATAATCTCCCTATCATATTTATCATATTTATATTCCTCTTTTTTCTTTTTTTTTAAAAAATAACCTTGAATCTACCTTTCTTTGTTTAGTTTATTTCCTAAACTAAGCAACTTGAAACCAACTTGTAACCAACATGTTAAAACAAAGACAAGTATACATAATCTATTTAATGACCAAAAACCACTCAGCCCACTTTTTGGTAATGTGTGCATCATGTTCTAGGTTACTTCCTGCTCACTGAGGGCACTGATAACCTTATGGGAACCAAAAGAAAATTAAGGATTATGGTCAAGTCCTGACTGGAATATTCTTGAGGCTGGGTAATTTCAGCCAGCAGTCTTGAAGCTGTTTTGGATGTAGAACTCAGAGGAAACTGAAACAGAGGTGCTCTGAAATGTTGTATTATCTGGGCCATCTGCTCCTACCAGAGGTTTTCCAGTGGATCTTCCTTTATCAAACCCTATTTTTCTTAACTTATAATAAATCCACAGCCTCTCATTTCCTGTGGAAACAAAAGCAAAACCTCTTCCCCAGTGTAACACATGTCCTGGTTTCTATTCTGAGGTCAGTATATCTTTAAAGTATATTGGCTTATTTAATTTCATAGGTTTTTTTTTATTATTATCCAATGTCCCTCTACAGCTGTTGTTCCTACTCATTAGCATTTAGAAAATTCAAAGTTAATAAAGCATTATGCAATCTATTTCTGGGGGTATTTTTCATCCCTTTCTGTTTATTTGACATATCCTTTATAGATTGATTTAATCTTTCTATAACTGCTTTCTGTAGCAGCGGTTGCTGCTTCCTCAGCAGTAAAACAATTCAAAGGCAACACAATAACATACAGTATCCAGAATCTCTGTGTATTTTCCATCTTTACATGGAAGCTAAGCCATGGTAGATGGGAGCTGGGAGCACTAGTTTGTCTCCTGAACCCAGGTAATTAGGTTTGGGTTCCAATTCCTAGAGCTGGAATTTCAATCCAAGCCCTGGCCTGGACTGGTGACTAAAAAAGTGTCAGGAGAATGGCTTTTTTCTTAAATTCATGCCCCAAAAAGCTGGGTGCCAAAAGTGGAGTTGAAAACTATTAAGTTATAATTATAGTTTTCCTTAGTTATGATACAAGATAAAGTAGTTATAAATATTGAAACTGTAATTCTTGCTTGATCTGTTTTGTTATATGTAAATTTTATTATGTTAAAGTTAAAACCTTCCTTTTTATTTAGACAGAAAAGGGGAGATGTTGTGGGATCCCCCTCTGTATGCTATAAATATGCTTTATTACCATTGGTTAATAAAGAAGCAACTTTGGCCTATGGCAGAGCAGAACAGAACTAGGTAGGATAACTAAACTGAATGCAGGGAGGAAGAAGGTAGAGCCAGGGACATGCCATGCAGCTGTCGAAGGAAGGAGAAGGATGCCAGAATCTTACCTGTAAATCACAGCCTTGTGCCAATATACAGATTACTAGAAATGGTTTAATTTAAGATGTAAGAGCTAATTAGGAATATGCCTGAGCCATTGGTCAAACAGTGTTGTAATTAATATAGTTTCTGTTGATTATTTGGGCCTGAGCAGCCAGAAAACCAACATGCAGTCTCCATTTACACCCACTAGTGAACCCTTTTGTTGGATATTTAATACGGAGTTGTCAACCTTCACACCATATACATGGCACCAACCAAAACAGATTCAGCAGGTTGTATACACACACACACACACACACACACACACACACACACACACACTCAGAGCAATGATAAATAAAGAGGCTATTAACGTTAGTGGGAGCATGGGAACAGTTTGAGAGATGGTAGCTAGGAGGGACTGGAAGGAGAAAAGTGGGGGAAGTGATGCAATTCTCTCTCAATTGATAAATAGTGTATTCTACTGAGTGTCACAAGTTAACAAGACATTAGAATATTGTTTGCTCTTGAGATACCTGGCTGATAAATAACAGTGGCTGTCCGCTGCCACCCAACATCTCAAAAAGTCTCAACAGTTACAGAAAAGTTCAGAACTTACAGTCGGAAATACGATTCTACTGAGAGCATTTCACTATCACACTGTCACAGCCAAGTGTTCTCAGGTCAAACCATTGTAACTGGGGCCTGTCAGTAATACCGTTTAAGTCTTAGGATAACCCAGAATACCGTTTAAGTCTTGGGATAACCCGGCACAAAAGTACATTTTAATTGCATGTAACACCCTAGGCTTTATCTTCACAGGAAGAATTTTCAATGAACATAAATTTGGAGGTTTAAGAAAGGGAGTTCAGAGCCTGGAGATGGAGATTCTGATTAAAAACACTGACTATACAATCCTGGAGAACAGAGTTCAAATTCCACCACCTACATAACAAACACTGTATCCCACACACATCTGAAGGGAACAAAAGCAGGAGGACGATGGATGGAGCCTGCTGGCTCGCCACTTACATGAGAAAATGTGAGCTCCAAGGTTCTCTCAAGGTGAGAACCAAGCTCAAAAGAAAAGGCAGGGATTGATTGAGGAGGATAGTAGACTCTCCTAGCCTTTGCACACATGCACAGGCTCACACACCTACACATACAAATGCACATACACTCACACAGATATGCACTGCACACATAAACAAAATCTTTTTAAAAAGAAGATTGCAAACTCAAAACAATGCACAGGCCATATAGCTGATATAAACAGATAAAAGGTATTGAGAATGCTAAAACGAAGATTTTTTTATCAAAAAGAATCTGAACAAGCTGAATTTTTATGTGCACTCACTTAATTTTCTTAAATAAGTATAAACAAGAAGGATACTGCACACCAATTTGCTCTTTCTGTAACTGACAACTGCTTGATTATCAGATGGAAACTCATTAACATGATAGCCACGTCTCTGGAACTTTCCTAGCCCTCACAACCAGTGATGTGTTACAGACCAGTGTGTCTTACAGACACTCCATGTCTGTAAGAGATTGATGCAATTTAAAATTCCCATGCAATAAGTAAAATTCTCTGGGTTAGGTAAGAATGGGGTTATTCCTTTTAAAATATTTTTATCAATTATTTTTTATTTCTTTGTTTTTTGAGACAGGGTTTCTCTGTTCTGTTTTGGAACCTACCCTGGAACACCCTCTGTAGCCAGGCTGGCCTTGAACTCACAGAGATCCTGTAGACTGGGAATATCTTCACAGACGTCATGGTAAGCTTAACACTTGGTGCTCTGAAAGACTAATCAGCATCCACACACTCATTTGCTGCATGGACATGTTACACTTTAGATCACCTTTAAATTGAAATGTTCTTTATCTTTTGTAACAGATGTGCAATGAATATGCCACTACTGTGCTACGTCATCCCAAGAGATCTGAACCCTACAGGGATCACAAAATCATTAGCGATCTCTATAGCTATTACAAGTCAATCATTAAGTATAATCTTCAGGACATTGATTTCCAGGCACGATAGAGTAGTGGGTATCTTTGTCCCTATTTTGCCATAATTTTCAGGAGGTTGGACGTTTGTCAATAAGGATGGTTGTCGCTGGGAGGTGGGAAACAAGTAGAGTCTCCTTGTTAGCCCGGCTTACTTCATTGATAGAATTCTGAGCCTGGAGAACAAAAAAGGGAAACTCAGGTAGAACTGGGGCGATTCCCTGCTGGAGAAGAGAGATGCCACAGTCCAAGAAAGGAATGTAGCAGAGTTCACAGAGCAAAACACCAAAGGAGTTAGACAGAGGTCCTACTAAAATATTCAGCACGTCAGTGGTTAGCACGTTTTTTTGTTTTGTTTTGTTTTAAGCCACGCATATCCAGCATGAGCCAGAAAGATGGTTCAGCATGTTGAAGTATGTACTGCCAAGCTTGAGGACTTGAGTTTGAGACCCAGGACCCACACGGTAGGAGGAGAGAACTGGCTTCTACAAGTTGTCATCCATACAAGCACCATTGAGCGTTCTCCACTCTCCCAAATGAATAAATACAATTTAAATATTTTCAGACACACAAATAAATGGAAAAAATAGCTGAAAGGAGTTAAATTGTCTCTGGTGTTAGAGTGAATAGAAAGGGTTTTAATATTTTTAGGATTTCATTAGATATTCAAAACAAAGATGTTAAATGAAAATATAAATGCATACACACATGCACACACACATGAAACAGATATGCACACTTTAAAAATGTACAAAAATTAAATTTGGAATTGTAAAGCTTACAATATTTAAGAAGAAACTAGAGTGGATAAGGTTAACAACAGATGAGCCGTTAGAGAAAAAAAATTAGCAACCTGAAGATACAAAAATTAGAAGTGAGTCAACATGAAAAAGAAAGAAACAGGCATAAACAAAAATGAATGGAACATTGGTGAGCTGTGGGGCAATGTTTGGCAGCTAGAAAGACAGAGGCAGAAGAAAATAAAGATTGATTCTTTTTCCTTCCAGCGTAGACTAAAAGCACAAGAATGCAAGAGCGAGGAACTTCAAGCGTATGATACACGAAGGAAAAACTGCAGCCAAACAGAACCTACTTAGGTTACTCAAGACTAGAGGAAGAGAAAACCTTCATGGAAACACGAAGATGAGGCTCAGAGCAGACTCACTGTAAGCAGCACCATGAAGACACAGTGCACGGACTGACAGTTCACAGGACTGACAGTCAAAGCTACCCAGCCGCCTAGAATCCTATACCAAGAGATTTTCACACCTTCCAAAAACAAAGCTAGAATGAGGGTTTTTCAAAGATGGACCGTAAGGAAAAAATTCTGAATCTGAGCATGGTATCCTACATATATAATCTCAACACTTGAGAGTCTGAGGCAGGAGGATGCCAAGTTAAAGACCAACCTTGTTTATTCAGTGGGACCCTGTCTCCAAAGAAGGAACAGACAGAAGCTGAAGGGATTCAATTCTCTGCTCTCACCATGTGAGAAGACGTGTTTGGAAACGCCTTTCGGGGCAAAGCAAAATAAGACTAGACGAAAACACGCATGCACCCACACAAAGGAAGAACAAACGTGCAGGGTGACATCTACATTAGGAAATATTTTTATTATTCTTCAAATCTTCTTTAAAGATAGACATCTTCGACTGGGAGGTAGTGGCAATTCCAGCACTTAGGGAGGCAGAGGCAGGTGAATGTCTGTGAGTTTGAGGCCAGCCTGACTGGTCTGCAGAGTAAAGTTCCACGACAGTCAAAGCTACACAAAGAAACCCTGTCTCAATAAATAAATAAATAAATAAATAAATAAATAAATAAATAAAATTTAAAAATATAGAAATCTTTTAAAACAAACAAAAAAGCAAAGGGGACAATTAAAATCTCTATATAAGAGAAGCATGCAATATAAACAGCACAGACCGAAGGCTTGAGATAAAAGTGTAGCTGCTACAGTTTGAATGTGAAATTTTCCCACAGGCTCATGTATTTCCACACTAGGTAGAAGTAGAGTCTTACTGGGCAGAGTGATCCCTGGGGCTGGGCCTTGAGGTTTTATATAACCCAACTGCATGCTGTGGTTGTTCTCTGCTTAGAGGCTGCTGATGCAATGTGAGAGTCCAGCCTCGGGCTCCTGCTGCCATTCCTTACCACCCCCCGCCATGATGGACTGTATCCCTCTGAACTGTGAACCAAAACATGCCATTTCTCCCTGAAGTAGTTTTTGTTAGTGTATTTTATTACAGCAGCAGAAGAGAAAATAAGATAACAATATAAGATTTCTATAGTATATGTGAAGTAATACCACTTGAGGGTCATTCCAGATATGTTAAAATATACACTGGGGTTTGAAGCAAACCATTAAGACTCTAGAACCAAGAATTTGAGCCAATACTCCAGCAAGGAGATAAAATAGAGCCAATAGAAAGAGAAAAAGAAGCAAAAAATATTGAGTGAAATTAATAAAAAATAAGTAAAGATAGGATTAAATGTAGTCACATCGATAAATCAAACATAAACTATCTAAACAATTTTTATAAAAGAAGCATTATCAGACTAGATTTTTAAAAAGTAAGATCTAAGCATGTGCTGTTTGTAACATAAAATAGAAATATGTAAAAAAGCTACAAAGTGAAAGAAAAGATTAATATATGTTATCCTAATAAAAGTCAAAGAAACCTAAAGTTGCTGTTACTAACTTCCAGCAAGATGTCAGAGTATAGATGCTGCAAAGGATAAGGAAGTTTATATACAATGAGAACAATCAATTCAAGAAAAGGATATAACGTCCTTAAATATTTATAAACGTACCAACTAAGTTTCAAAATACAGGAAGTAAAGAAAAGAGTCTCAAAACTCCAAGAAGAGAGAAGCAAACCCACAGCCTCTGTTAGAAGCTGCACCCCTTCTTCTTCCAGTGTCAAAGGACAAGCAATCAGAGAGTCAGCGAGGGTGGAGGGGTGCAGCTGCCCAGCAGAGAGTCAGCGAGGGTGGAGGGGTGCAGCTGCCCAGCAGAGAGTCAGCAAGGGTGGAAAGGGCACAGTTGGCATCAGCCAGCCTAACTTTACTTACATTTTTGTGGTACTGAGGGAAACAGCAGCAAAACTGCATTTTTTCTAACCTCACGCAGAGTTTACAGTTGGCCATAAAATATACATGACTTATAAAGGATTCAAGCCAATGTATGTTCTCAGATTCCAATAGTGTTAAATAAGAAAATTAATAACAGACTAACATAAGAAAACTCCAGAAACTTAGAACCTAATGCATTGCTAAATAACCGGAGGTCAAAAATTAAAGCATGTATTAGAATATATTTCAAAATTAATGAAAATAAAAGCACACATTTTAAAATTTAATGTGATACCAATAAAGCATTGCTTAAGAAAAAATTAATAGTTCCAAATGTCTATATCGGACAAAAAATGTCTTGAATCAATAACCTTATATTTTTACCTTAGGCAAGTAAAAAAGAATTACAAAAAAAGCCCAAAAATAAAGAAAATAAAGATAAAAGTGAGAATCAATGTCACAGAAAAAGATAAAAATGGAAAAATCAATGAAACCAAAAGCCAGTACTTTGTGAAGATCAATAAAACTGAACAATCTCTTGCCAGATTGATCAAGCAAAAGAGAAGACACAGATTACCAATAGCAGCTATAAAAATGACATCATTATGAAGTCTACAGATTTTAAGAAAATTATAATGGCTATGCATAAATAATTTCATGCTAATAATGTCACAATTTAAATGAAATGGAGAAAATCCCCCAAAGACATCAAGGTATAAAGCTCAAGAAGGAACTGAATATCCTGACTGCCGTTTTCATATGCATTGGTGATCCACTGCATCGAGACTGTAGCCAACAACCACACCAAGAAAAGGCCGAGCCCATGGATTTTGTTGGAGAATTTACCAAACATTTAATGGGGAAAAAAAATTGACACAAGCTCTTCTTCTGATAAGCCACACCTTCCAACCTGCTCCGGGGCTGGCGTTACGCACCAAAATCCAGACAACGACGTATGAGCAGAGAAAACCACACACCAGACCTTTTCTTGAACACAGACACAAAACATTTTTACTAAATTTTACCAGGTGGAGTTAAATGGTACATGAAAAGTGACCACTGCATCATGATTCTGCAGAGGCAATTCCAGGCATATCCTTTTGGGTTTCTGCATGGAAAACAATGACTGTAATTCACCATGTTAGGACGATGAAGATGCATGACTGCCCATAATCATCTTAAGATATCGCAAGAAATAAAAGTGACAAAAACCACATAGTCAGTCCTAATTAAAGTCACATAGTAAGTCCTGATTAAAACCACATAGTCAGTCTTGATTAAGATCACATAGTCAGTTCTAATTAAAAATGCTCAGCACATTAGTCATAGACAGCAAGTGCATCATTTGGATAAAGTCGGGTTTTCCTCCTTTTGTTAGTAAGTTGGGTAAACTTTTAGTAAACCTTTAGTAAAACTAAGTAAACCTTTAGTCGGGTTTTGTTAGTAACAAAAGTCAGTAAGAGATTGAAAATGGAAAAATAGCATTGACAATAACATCATAAAGATCAAATATGCGCATCTAAATCTCATAAAGTGAAAGACTTGTCATATTTTAAAAAGTCACAAAACGTGATTGTAGTTGTTTTGTTTTGTTTTTTTCTTTTTACTCTTTTCCTCTGTTCTTTTGGAAGCCCTGCCACCCAGTTCCCAGATAAATTACACATGGAGTCTTATTCTTAGTAATGAATGCCCAGTCTTCGCTTGGCTTGTTGCTAGCCTACTTTTTTTTTAAGATAAATTACCCCATTTACCTTTTGCCTTTGCGCTCTTTCCTTTTACTTCTGTATATCTACCTCACTTTTGCTCTTACTCCGTGGCTGGCTGGGTGGCTGGGTGGTTGAGTGGCTGTCTCCCCCACTTACTCCTTCCCCGTTTACCCCCCTCTCCCGTGTCCTCTCTCCTTCTTTCCTCTTTCTCCTTCCTCCTCTCCTCCCAGATTTCTCCTATTTATTCTTCTGCCTGCCAGTCCTGCCTATCCTTTCTCATGCCTCACTATTAGCCAGTCAGCTCTTTATTAGACCATCAGGTGTTTTAGACAGGCAAAGTAAGACAGCGTCACAGAGTTAAACTAACGCAACATGAAAGAAAGTAATGTGCCTTTGCATCATTTGACAAATATTCCACAGCATAAACCAATGGAGCACTTCTCAGAATAATATTCTACAATATGTGATCGAAAAACATTAAGGAAGGCCTGAATGAATGGAGAAAGTGCTCAGTGTTCATGGATTGGAAGAATCAATCAACAGGGTAAAGTGAAAAATCTCATCAACTTCTGTTTTTTTTTTTTTTTTAAAAAAAGCATCCAAAATAATATGATGACAACGTAGCAAGAAGTCTAGGACCTCAAAAACTGACTCTAAATGATTTTTTTTTTTGAAAATGAAGAAGCAGGTGAGGCATCCAGGCCACGCATCTCAAGTACTTTTCATCAAGATTACGTCATCAGGACAGCATGCGTCACACAAACAAAGACAAATAAGTCATTGCACAGAAGAAAAAATACAAAACCCTTGCCTGTGTGTGGGCAACTGACTTTCAAGAAGGTGACAGAGATAATAAATGAAGGTTCATTTCCAGTACATAGTATCTTGGCAATCAGATACCTAAATGCAAAACAAATAGTCTCTATCCAAAACACACAACATGCATAAAATTAGCTATCTCACAGAGTGCAATGTGAATCCTAAACCTAGAGGCTATATGTGTGTGTGTGTGTGTGTGTGTGTGTGTGTGTGTATGTATGTTTTATATATATATATATATATATATAACATGGGAGTCAGGTGAGAATTCCTTAGACACACACTAAAAGCATAGTCCAGGAGAAGTTGATAAATTAGACCGCCTCAAAATAGAAACCTTTGTTCTTCAAAGAAAGGTAAGAGACGAATGAAAGACAGGCAATGAATGAAGGAAAAGCAATCGGTAGTCGTGTGTGATGTAAGATTTTTACCGAGAATACAGGGCTCTCAGAACAGCATTTTTAAAATAATAATGATAACAACATCACATCCGCATCTCCTCCTCCCTCTGTATCCGCATCTCCTCCTCCCTCTGTATCCGCATCTCCTCCTCCCTCTGTATCCGCACGCTCCTCCTCCCTCTGTATCCGC